ACACACACACACACACACACACACACACACACACACACACACACACACACACACACACACACATTTTTTTCTTTTTGCTAAGCATAAAGATGCTCCTAACATGAAGGGATGAATCAATGTTGTGTTCACGGCACACCTTTGCAAAGGTGGATTTTTTGGGGGTTAGGTGGTGGATTTTCTAAAATAAAGATGGATTCAAGAATAAAGTCAATTGTCTTTGGTGGTAATGTATTAAAAGAGAAATTAAAGAATAAAGGAAATAAGAAACAATCAAATAACAGTATTAGACACTACAGACTACAGGTGAAGCAGAGCTCAGTGAGTTCTGCACTGTCAAACCTTTCCACAGTACTTTCAGCTTCACACAATCTTAAACTTCTTCCTGATCATTTCACAGCGACATATCAAAACGATACAAATTCGATACACTAGATTTAGTTTTTAATTGGTAGAAATAACTTGAAGACTTCTTTCGATGTACCCTGCAGTCATTCTGCTTTAATGTAAACAGTAAATGAGAGCTGATAGCTTCTGCATGTCAATTCACAAATTTAATTCTCTGCCAGATGCATCATTTTCATATCCTGGATCAGGATCTTTGGCTTTTTAACAGTAAAATGTTTGACAGAAAATGGTTCATAATATAAACATTTTAATGAGACATGCTTGGTTCAGGAGACAGCACCAGTGTTAAAGAGTGAGGTATGGTCTGCTCTGTGTACAGTCGCTGGTTGGTGGGTCAGTAGTAAATGCAGCGCGTGAGGTGTATGGGGATGTGGGCCATCTCTTTATGGTGCTGCTTCGCAAAAGGCCACAAGTAGAAGTCGATTATAGCAGAGTTGACGTCGCAGGCCCGCCCGTCCTTCTCCTGCACCAGCTTACAAAGAKGTTCCTTAATCAGCTCCACAGACCAAATGGAACAGCCTCGGATCTCCACTTCTCTCCTGTCCCCTGAAGACAGCAGTTCACCTGAGGGAGATAATGATTTTAAAATAGTTTATTTGTTGTAAAAAAAAAAAAAAAGAATGAGATTCGCAGTCTCTTGTCTCACCGTTTTTCAACACCTGCAACAGTGAGTCGGAATATCGTAGTACTCCCAAGTAGACGAGCGCCTGAGGAACCCTGTAGTCGGCAAACATGGTGAGCCAGTCCGTGTTGGTGACGCCTCCCTCTCCTCTGGCCTCCATCATCCCCCAGAAATCTGCCACCAGGATCTGTGCTCGCTTGTAGAAAGATATTTTGGTGCCCTGGGAAAAATATATAAATAAATAAATAAATAAACGACTTTTATTTCTATTTCTGTTTTTGTACTTAGCAGGTACATGAATTTAGTTGCACATGACGTGTACTCCGCTCCACCACTAGAAAGCTGCCGCTCTGTTTGTGGCCAGGAGGTGGACCTCTCACATCYTCATTTATTCAAAGTTCTCCAAATGCGGGCACATCAGAAGAAAAATGTCATTTTACGCACTTTAAGAGGTTTATAAATTGTGTGTATTTTTATAAGGTAATCATTTAAAAAACATCTACAAAGTTTTCCAGTTCATTTGTACATATAAATTCACTGTACTGTAGATTTTAATATATTTAATTTCCTTGTCTAAAGTAGCTCAACACTTTTATTTTTTTACACACGTAAACATATTTTGTGCTGGCATTTTTACAGATTTGCCGTCTGAACTCTGACCTCGTACGTAGCCTCGTCTCTGTAGGACGGGATCTTCTCCACAACAAACTCCACCATCTTCCGGGCGTCGTTTCCGGCTTGGCTGATGAAACTCCGAAAACTTCCGCCGTGCTCCAGCAGCACGCGGCCGCCTTCAGTCAGCACCTAGTTAGAAACATTCGGAGTGTGATGTGTTCAAATTTAGCAACTGTGATGAGCAGGAGYCGACAAACCGCACACTTTCCTTTTTTTCATTTGATGATGGACGTACGGCGGATGGAAGGCAAGAAGTTTGACAAACAAAATCATTATCGGAGCAATCATGTCAGTTTTCCTTCTAAAGACAAAAACACATGCAGATGTCCATGCAAACTGTATGAGAAATCAATTAAACCAGTAAAGGAATGCATTATTTCAAGTTTCTGTCATATCATGTGAATAAATCCTGTTTGTTTGTGTCAGGACACAATTCATTATATTTAAWTTCAAACTTCTGGCTTTTAAAAGTGAAATGATTAAAAAGATGACTTTTTGCTTTTCCAAAAGACGTGTATAATTGGACATTTACATTTATTTAAGACAAGGAAACTACTTCATGCCAACAATGCATCTAGAAGCTGGGAGAGTGAATCCAGATAAACTGAACATGAGTAGATTTGTCATCATGAAGGAACGTTACAGGTATAATGTTAGAAATTAAAATCCTCTTTTTTTTCCAATGTTTATTCAATGCATCTTCTTTTGGAGTGTACTAATGTGTCAAATCATGCTGTTTAAAAGTAAACCTGCACGACCGGTGAACTGCTTCTCAAACACGGCGGCTGTTATGTAGAATTAGAACGATATCAGAACCTGGTGGCGTTCTTTAAGCATCGGCGTCACTGTTCCATTGTCTGATCGAAGGACGTGACCCAACTCCTCCACACTCATCTGAGAAAAGTACTTAGGATCAGTAATGGGTACACCTGCGGAGAGAGGAAAGAGGAGGCGCTGGAGGAAATAATGTAGAGAAATATGTTCATTTTATTGTAAATCACAGTTAAAACAGGCTGTAAAAAAAATAAAGTTCCACAGTATCTTTTTTTCCCACATTAGACTTAAAGAACATAATTTGTTCTGATCTCCTGCTGTCAGCCCAGGAGATCCACACAGTTTTTTTTCCCCCACGAGAGAATGCATCGTAGTTATAAAGGGCACAATGACAACACATTGAGAGCAGTATTTCATGGGAGACATAACTGATTCATATCCGGAGTCATTCATGCTAATTATAAATGATGCTCAGTCTCACGCAGAGCTACAAGCAATTTCCTAGAAATCCTACATCAAGTAAAGGGCACACACACATACAATAACTGGCTATAATAAAACCACACAGAGGAGCGGGGTGAAAACAGGTATCAAAACATACATTTTTCTTTTATGTGGAGCAAACAACGACAACAGAAAGTCAGTTCATGAAAAGGCCAAGATGCCATGTACTATAACACTGTTAAAGGATGTTCTGCTGCTGACACACCACTGCAATTGGCAGATTTCACCATTTTTAGTTTCAATTTAGAAAAATTCAATTTAGAATGAATTTCTTCAATGTTTTTTTTTTTATAAAAATAAATCAGACCCATTACAAATCATAGGTGGAACCTGTTGATTTAAAGGCACAGAGMGATCTTAATGCTTAATACACGTAAACAAAAACTGAATAAAACACAGACTCACCTTCTTCCATGGCCCTGGTGATAGAAGCACACAGGGTCATGTAGCCTGTGTAAGTCGTGCCTTTATAGGTCACCTCACACTGCTCTGTTTCCTTCTCAGGCCAAAAGGAAAAGTTCATGGTGTCAACAACAAACACCCAGTTCAATGCCTGCAATGTGAAAATACACACATTATTAAAAGAACGATGTTGACTTGTTAAAGACTTTGTTTTGCCTTTTTTTGTATTATATCTACAGAAATACTTATACTTTTACTTCAAATACCCTGCTTCTTGCAGAAGAGTCACCAAACTGTGGGCAGCTGGCTCACAAAATAATTCTTGCCAAGTAGGCAACACACAAACATTTAAACTTAACCTTTGTGATTTTTTTCACGTTAATAAAATGAATGTTATTCATTCAAAATCCTAAATGATTCGGATTTAGAAAACAAAGCAAAACAGTCAAACATCATTTATTCAAATGTCCCAGTTTTATCCTGCGAATAATTAAACCTAAACATGTTTATAGAAAAAAGCATCCCAACATGTTTGCTCATAAATTTACTATTTTTTCTTTTTATGTTATACAAACTAAACAGGACTAAATATTCACATCATTTAATCTTTCTTCGATATATTTTACTAATATTTTATTTTAACATTAAAAGAATGTTTTTATTTTTTAGGTTCGATGGGTTAGTAAAAGAAATGATTATTTTTGCAGGACTTTTGCTTTTAATCCCATTGGAAAAAAAATAGCATGTGATTCATTACTTTTTGCATGATATAAAAACAGTTTAGCACTCTGGATGCTCATAAACTCCCCTGGTCTGAGGTGGGGGCCGGAGCCAGAGGATTTGCGTGCTTCCATCCACTGGCGGTCAGAGCATCACTGTGTCTGAGATCATAGAGCATCTCTGCCACTTTCTGCACTCCGGCGTCCTCGATAAACACATCCTGGCTGRGCTCGGCTATGAACCGCCCAGACTCTCTGGGGAACAGAGGTTTGGTCATGATGTGTGGAGCAGAAAAGCAACTGAAAGAAACCAAACAAACCTCATGTTCAACAAGCATTTATTAAAAACACAATTAATAGATTTGGATTTAGGCATTAAAATATGCCTTCTGCCATTTATAGACCCGTTATTGTTTCCTAAATAACCTTGACTACCTGTTAAAACCATACACAGCTCAGATGAAGCGTCTGTGTTCATCTTTAGGATGGGGGCTGAGTGAGTTGAATGGCTGTGCCCTTTTCATCTGGAAACTTCAATAACCTTCAATGACCTGCAGTACATCTCAGAGGAAGTGCCCTTTTCTTCCTGTTTTAAGAACAACAAAAACCCATGGGCAGACAACTAACTATGGCCAGCGTGATAAAACTAGAGCTTCACAAGAGAAAAATCTGTGATGTGCACKCTTGTTTATTAAGTGGGTAATTGTAAATGATAATTAAACTCACATTTTCCTCACTCATCAAATAAACCAGGTTAAAGTCAGTGAAAGTCCACTGGATCGACCAGATATATTATTTGAATGCAGAACGTGAACTATTTGTATTATAATAATCTAGTGGGGGGTGGGGGGGGGAATGATTTATTGAAACCTAAGCAGTTTTTTGAGATGCTGACATCGCAATGACCATAAAGTTCTGAAATATTGTTCAGCACAGAGGAAATCACTGTTATTAAATAAACAGGTTACATATGCCAAGAGACACAAAATAAAATGAAAGACAGATGACAAATAAAATAATCTAAGATTACAACAGAGAGATATCTAAATGTGGCAGTGGACTAAAACCACAAAAAGCCAAACAGATCAGACTTCCTTTTCTTGTCAAATTCCAGTTTCTCTTTCCATGGAGTCAAAGCTTTTTACACATCTGGCCCTGGTGTTTTATTATACTGGGTCTAAAGGCTCAAAAATGTTAAATACTTCAATGACAAGCTCGTTTATGTCAGTAGCTCAAAACCCAGTTTGCTTAGCACACTTTAAATGTGAATATGCTGCAGTCCCATTGCTCAGATCAGTTAATGAACATTGTCAGAACACCTTTATCGTGTCGTGGCTTTTTAAGTTGTAATTATTTCTGTACGAACGTTTTGAATTAATTACGGTCAACTTTATCAATATAAACTTACTGTTGTTCAGCTGAAACACTGAGCTGTAGGAGTCACGTTACCAGCGTTTGGAGAGAAAAGAAACAATTCAGAACTGCATAGAAAAGCAACTTCTTCCCGCACGCAYAACAGGTCGTGCGGTTTCTACTTCCTGGTCGTCAGCTCCTGACCAATCAGAGCGTCGCTCGAATGCCAGTCACTAGCGGATCAACCAATCATAGTAGTCCTGGGGTAATAATTGACATGGACTTTTTTTTTATTGCTTCTCGTTAAATGTATGGTTGTTCAAAGGTTTAAAAACCCAAAGTTAAATAAGTTTTCACAATGATGTAAAAAAAAAACCATTAATATTTGCAGCCTTAGTCATAATCATGACAATCAGCTGCAGAAATGCAGTAGTTCATTAACCATTCAACAATTCAGTAAAAAGTGGCATCATCTTTATTTCTCTTACAATGTGACAATATGAAACTCACAAGATGGACAGCATACAAGCGTAGAGCACAGGAACTCCCAGAGACAAGGTAGAAGAGTTCAGTGTATCAAAGAAACCAGAAAAATGCCTTCAATTTTAAGCTACTAAACACACGTTTACATTTCAAAGTAAATCAAATTATTCAGGTTTATTACACAACTATTATAAATCATTAAAATTAGTCTGTCCTGCATCTCATGTACACAACTCTTCCTTAAACATTGCAAAAATCTTTTTAACAAGATGAAAGTTCCTGGAGCTCTCAAAAAAGATAACAAAAGAAATATTTTGTATTTTGAAGGTTGCTCAGAGTGGTTGGGTATAAATGGATGTGAAAAGACAGACTGCAGGAAGCATACCAATCCACAAAGACATGCGCACACAAAAAACAAATTTACAGAAACAATCATACACAGTCATTAAAAAGAACATTAAAAAATAAATGTTTATTTTTATCTGCTGGAGGTCTGAAATATTTTGATATATGAGAATTACAAAAAGAAAAAAAAGAAAGGGGGGTCAAAGCAAAATCTGGCAAACTATAGGACTTCACACTTAAATGCAGATGATCTACATTTTCTCTGATGTACAGGAATGTTGGACATTTCTTTTTAAAATACAAAAATAAAATAATAATAATAAAAAAAAAACACCACCAATCCAGAATAATAGTCTGAAGAGGACGTTTTGGACCAGGGCAAAAAGACTGTGGAAGAGTGAGTTCAATCTGAGTCGTCTTGATCTACGTCTTCTGAGTCTACAGCAAATGACCAGAGTACTGCTTCACACTGAAATATAAAATAAAAATACATAACTCACAGCTGGAAATGTGAAATTCACAAACAATAACAGCAATGATACAGATACGCAAGTGTGGCAGAATGAAGATTTTGGGGAAAAAACAAAAAACAAAACAATGGGTAGCAGGAGGGCGCAGACAGCGAGTAAAAGGAAGACAGGCAGGTAGAGAGGGGTGAAGAGCTGACAGTGACTGAAGAAGAGCAAAAGAGGCGTGGTTAGTCCTTGCGTCCAAGCAGGTGCAGCACACTGAAAGGTGGAGGAGAGGCAGGAAGAGGAAGGTACGGTTAGTCACCATGGCCACACTACACTACTCATGAGACAGAGCGGCAGGTCTACACACATATTAGCATCCGGGGACAAGCTTAGATGGCATCAACGAGGAAGTAGTGTGTATTATACGTGCCTACTGGTTGTCAAGGGAGACAGAAGAGGAGGAGCCTGTGCTATTTGGCAGACTGTGATTTGTTGTCAGTTAAACTAACTAAAAACAACAAAATCACTAGTCTTCCACACAGCAGCAGCCAGGGGAAGAATCAATCCACTCCCTCCTTCACAGTGAAACGGCTTTGATGGCWAAGACATTCTGTTCTTTTACTTTTTAAAATGATATTTAAATACAAGTCAAAGCAAATTGTCACTCTCTGTGACAGTTTAGAAAAACTTCAATAAAACGTGTCCATCAAGTATGCCTACTCCTTCACAGCCATTTCATGTAAGAGGAAGGTTTGAAGTAGTTGAAGGTTGCATGGGGAAGAAAGGAAGGGGGTTAGTGAAGAAAAGACAGCAGGCACAAAAAAAACTGCATAACCCTTAAAGAAAAACCTATTAGGATGCAATTTCAAAATAGATTTGTCAAACAAATCTATTACTTATGTGTTTGTGTTACATAAAATTAAACTATGATACACTTCGTTCTTTTTYTGTTTGCACCACAAATCACTGAGCTCTTTTAAAAGTGAGCTAAGATCAGATTAAGTACCTCAAACTATTTTTTACAATTCTTATATGAACAAGTTAATCAATACAGATTGAAGAGAAAATGACAGTTTAAAAAAAAAACACTAACGCATGTGATATCTCCTGAGTCAGATTAACACAAAACTACAAAGTCCAAACTCGCCTGTTCTGCAGAAGGTACTGAGCGTTCTGGATCTGGTCCTGGGTGCCAGTAATGGTAATGATTCTGTCCTCTGAACCTTCCAAAGGTTCATCGATCTTTATGGATGCCCCAGACTCATGGCGGATCTGTTTGATCCTCTGGCCTCCTTTACCGATGATAGAGCCAGCCAGCTGATAGTTGGAGGTGAAAAAAATAAAATAAAATAAAATGAAATAAGTGAGAGTAAAAACTTAATGAAAAACATTAAGTACCCAAATATTCTGTGTGCTGCTTTGAAAATGTGGACAGTAATCATGAGATAAACACCAAAACAAAACAAAAACTGATCGAAATGGTCAAAAATGTAACTTAACTGCAGCATAAAAAATATACGAAAATAACATGATTGACCAAGGTTTTAGATTACAGTTTCAATTTGACTGATGTCTTTTTACTACTGTAAATAACTCACATCTTTAGGGATCGTCACTTGTGTGGTGATGATGGGACCACCCATGTCATTATAGGAGCCACGTCCCCCTGATGGAAAGACAGGAGTAAAAAGGTAAAAACCAAAGTACACATAACCGATAAAAAAAATAATACTCCGGTTGTGTGATGGAATTTAAAAAAATGCATACAAAATAGTAATGTCACATGACAACATTTTCTTATCCTGCATCATTAAATTCAGCACCAGCCACAATTTGTGAATACCAGTGTTAATAGTGTTGGGTCTTAATGAAACCAAGTAAAAAATTAGACGTGGAGACTGACCTGACTGGTAGGAATCCCAGGATGAACTGTTATCTGAGCAGGAATAAAAACAGAAATAAAATTTAAAAAAAAAACAGAAATGACAATTAATACATCATAAGTACTTGATTTCATATTTATTAAAATTAACATTTCACATCACCCATCTAAAACATACACACACATACACACACCTGTTAAACACTATATCATCCTAGTTTGTTGTGAGCAATATAAATTCAAGTCCAACTCACACTCATTTGAATAAAATCCTTGCAGTTTGAATATAAGTACTTACATTTGTTTTAGCTACAATGTTTGAACTGTTCATTTTAAACAGATTTTGCCTCAACTATACCATGGCCTGTATTCTTATCACACAGTCAGGAGGAAGGAAAAAAAGAAAAAAAAAAAAAAGAAATTCAGCTCAGTACTCACCATATCCACCACTCTGCAGAAAACAAACAGAAACATATATTTGTTAAAGCTGCTACAACACATTTCCTCCAGTCTTCCAAACATCCAACATAAACAGATCGCGGGTCGTAGACATAAACGTGCGGTAAAGCTTCGTCCATGGTGTAGACTCAACTAAAAGCCGCCCAGATTTCTTCCATAAGACAGACTCCTCCTCCTACCCTTTCCGTCTCTTTTTGCATCTCCATCAGCCCCCATTTTCAGCTGCTGCTGTTACCAGGGCAACAAGCGATTCAAAAAGCTGTTGCTGAGCAACGGCAGGCAGTATCCTGCCAGGTCTCGGGGAGGGAGAGAGAGAAAGAGGCAGAAAGAGACCTTCAGTCTGTCAAGAAAGCATTATTAGTGCTTAGCAACCGACCACGGCCACCCCCAACCTCCTCTCTCTCTTTGCAGAAAAAAATAGGCTGGCCATGAAAAGTACACAGTAAGAGGGCAATTACAGCTGGTTATTATGGGCTGTCTCTGGTTGGGGTGATTATGGTCATTTGGTGGGATGGCTTACACCATGCAAAACCCGGCTTGGATCCATTGCGAGGGCTCAGATATGCTCAATTGTCCAGCTATGGTAGTATTCTTATAAAGGGGCAGGACAATGGACAATCACAGCATCATGTCTACTGCTAGGACATAGCAGTATGATAGTCTGAGAAGGTTTGCACCTAATTAGATGCTACTACAAAAGCTGAATGTATTTATCAAAGGGTCACTAACCATGCTATCGCTGTAGCGATCCGGTCTGCCTCTTCTGTCACTGGTGACGGGGAGGAGAGCACAAGCGTAGTGAGAAACAGAGAAAAGGAGATGTGGGTTGGAATAGAAAAAAAATAGAAAATGATTAGAAAAAAAAATCTTGATAACTATCCACAAAAAATTTCTGGTCTAGGTCAAACTGCACACACACGCTGCGCAAGATTACAGTATAAACACATTTTCTCTCCACCATCTTCCCACACACTAACAGGAACAGCTCTGACAGTGTTATGGTGAGAGGAGTGACAGGTGGTGGTGATTCTCATCACAGCCAAGAGCTGCTTTCGCTTCCCCCCAAAAGACTGAGCTCAAATAACGGAATTAACCGCTTTAGGAGTTACTTTGTGAGCTTTTTGTTTGTAGAGAACAAGCATGCATGAACATTAACTTCATGCAAAACTAAATTCTGTGATTAACTTGGATCTACATAATGTGTGTGGCTGATTTTCTTTCTAACAGTTTGTTCTGTCTCTGCTAGTTTAGTTAAAAAAATAAGTTAAATGGGAAGCCATTACCGGTTTACTCATTTAATTTTGACTTCAGAAAACCAATCACTAAAGTTTTAGATTTAGTTACATTTTAAGTCACAAAAAACAAGTC